CATTGATTCTGACTCAACAACTTCTATGTTGTTCAGTTTTTCATTGACTTTACATGACATTAAACCTGTTTATTGGCAACATTCTGTGGTATATGTAGGTAATTGCCGTCATGCGTGGTTCATGAATTTGAGGAAATTGGTACTGGAAAGTCCTTGAAAGGTCCTTGAATTTGATGTTGACCAAGGTGTGGGAACACTTCAGTAGACACATGTTCAGTAGAGGAGTCACAGTAGATGCAAACTTTCATGCTGGTCAATGTCAATTTATTTATTTATGTAGCACATAAAAACAACAAACGTTGACCAAAGTGCTTCACAATTCAGCCAAATGAATAAAACAACAGAGCAACACATGAATGTAAACGATAAGATCAATTTAAAATAGAGAAAACATTAAAAACATTATCTTTCAAAGAATCTCAAACTCTACCAGAGTGAAAGGCCAGGGACTAAAAATGAGTTTTAAGCAGAGATTTAAAAGTCTCAACAGTCTGTGCAGTCTGAATGCTAAGAGGTACCATTCCAAAGGTTTGGGGTAACTGGTTCAGATTCAACAATACAGTGTGCAGGTTGTTTTTTTATTTATTTATTTATTTTTTGCACGATTCTTCTGACAGTGGTTTTGATTGGATCCTGCCATTCACATGGATGCTACTTTAAATTAACAACTTCCTAAACATTCTTATTGTGAAACTGCGTGTCCTGATGGCAGTGGCCTCTTTCAGCAGGACAGTTTTCCCTGCCACACTATAAAATGACTTCAAGAACAGTCTGAAGAGCACTAAGTTCAAAGTGTTGACTTGGCCTCCAAATCTCCTAGATCTCAATCACCTGTTGGATGCACAGGACAAACAAGTTCATCCTGCATCTTCCAAGTTTGGAAAAAAATCTACTACTGATGCTGTAAGGTTCCACAGCGGACCTCCAGGGGTCTAGTATAGACCATGCCTCAACAGTTAAGACTGTTCTGGTAATCCTGACTGTTGAAGTATTGACTGGGGGGCTTAATGTGCTGGTCCTGAGCATGTAGGTCCTTTGTACTTTGAAGTTTTATGATTTGTGGTGTTCTTTTTTAGGTGTGGGTCGACTAATAGCAGAGTGCTCCCTTAATCCAATTATCTTGCCACTCTGGCATGTAGGTGAGTAATCCACCTCAATAACCTGGAAAACACACACTTTATTTACCAATTATTTAAAACACAACTGTCTTTCACCTTACAAAATTTTATTCTTTAATTTTTATTTTGTTTTGATGTGGAACATGTCCTTTTAACAGAGAATAAATAAACTTCACCAGGTTRGTGTCCTGTGTACACTTGCTACAGAAGAGGGAAACTTAAGAGAGGGATAAGGCATGACAGTAATACAGAACTTTGTATACATCCTCATAAAAACAGAAAAGTAACATTCATTAGTAATGTCTTCCAGGATTAGCAGTCCAGCTCTGGCTTTCCAAGATATCCATCTTAACTGGACTGCTTTGTATCTTTTAAACAGTCCACACTTGTCTTTTGCCAAKTAAAAAACTTGAAAACCTATCCTTGGTTTTTCCTTCCCAAATGTATCGCAATATCGTTTTATCCCATTCATTAATTTGTTTGTCATTAATCTCAGTTGGAAGGGTCTGGAATAAATATAGGATTCTTGRCAAACTGATTCAGTCTGAGCTTCAAAACGTAGTGTTGGTCTCAGATTCCATCTCCTTATGTCTTTATTCCTGATTCAGTAARTCAGTTTTGGGATGTTTACTCCCAAGTATTTAATCTGCTCTGATTTCAAATTTAATTGAATTCTGGAGATTATGTCAGGGATAGGATTTAAATCAAAATTCAATATTTAAAGCTTTTGGATGTTTAACTTGTAGCCCAAGACTGAGCCAAATTTCTCTAAAAATGCTAGCAGTGTCAAGATGGAGTATTCAGGGTTAGATAACATAATCAGTATGTCATCCAAATTTTCCTGTTTTCAAACTCTAGTATTACATGTAACTAAACAGGGGCATGATCAGACAGCTCGTTATATTGGAATTTGTGACCCTTTACATGTCCCTTTGAAACAGTAGATTGTGATCGAGCCGACAAACTAAATGGGAGAAGAAGGTAAAGTCTTTTATTTTGGTCTGGTTTATTTCCGTCTATATGTCTGAGAGACAGAGCTCCCTCATCATTAGTTTTGTATTTTAGTAAGTAAGTAAAGTTTTATTTATATAACGCCTTTCACAGAAATAAATTCACAAGGTGCTGTACATTCAGGAAAGGGGGAGGGGGCAGTTAAGACCAGTCATGCAGCAAACACAGTTGGCGTTACCTTAACAACAGAACATCCATCCATCCATCCATCCATC